TGATTCCGGAATTAGAATCAGCGAGCCCCGAACCAACCGATTCTAATGACGTCTCCATTATACATAATGGCATACACAGAAAATGGAAACGACAGTGATTATTTCACCGAATCCATCTTTCAGCAGTGATGCGCATCCCTCCTTAAGTGGATCCGGAACAGCCATCTTAGGGACGCCATGTTGGTAACTATTACTTTGTGCACGTATAATAATAATACATAATACACATAATAGGTACAGAGTATATAAATTAGCGTGAGTGAGTGAGTTGAATTTTACGCCGCTTTTAGCAATAGTTCATCAATACGGCGGGGGACACCAGAAATGGGCTTCACATTATAGCCATGTGGGGAATCAAACCCGGGCCTTCGGCGTGACGAGCGAACGTTTTAACCACTAGGCTACCCTACCGCCCCGTCTATACATTAGAAATTAACTTGGTTTGGTATTTATTCTATTGATGAATATGGAATGTTTTCTGCTATATGTTTATAGTATCATGTATATATATTCTTCACGGCGTTCGAGCTGTATTTGCTTGCAAAATATCATTAAAGTTTCATGTCATGTTTGGCTTGAGTGAATGGTGTTTAACGACTTTCTTTAGCATTATTCCAGTTATGTCGAGTCTGGACAACGCAAACTAGTGACTGAAAGAATGAGCAACTACTCACTCCACTGTAAGTCACCAAGCCTGACCACCGATCCTCCTTCTGCTATTGCCACAACGACTGAATGTTTGAGAACTAAAATATGGATTCTTCTTGGACACCTTATGATACGAATGAAGGAATTTCTGAAAAGTAAAGCTCTCAGTACCCCAAGCTCGTCATAATTAAGAGAAGAATATAATGTGGGTTTGCTTGGCTAATTTTACATAGATATTTTGTATATATGAGTATTTTCATATGTTGACAAGACATGTCCAGTAAGTTTGATTGTTTGTTTGTTGTTGCAAGTCAAAACATTGAATACACAACAGTCTCGTTTCCTGTTGACTGGGTTCCGTCCCATTGCGCAACTGAGTACAATAACCAGTCCAGAATTTTTAGACCAATTCATTCAACTGAATACATAAATATTAATCAGTATTATTTGATACATCTATGCACTTGTATATTGCAACACTACGTACCTTCTAATCCTTGCAAACACGTCGTGGAGTGTGCTCTGTCGTACAGCGGGTTCTGACAAACGGAAACCTGGAAATCGTGGACATCTCAAAACGAGGATCAATAGAAAAGTTTGGCGATCTGGTACAGAACTGATATTAAATTAATCACACTGTGCGTTACAGAACTACACTGAATAAGCGCAAAAAACACATAGCAGGTGCAACCAATGAGCCAGGTGCATTGTGAATCATTTTACGACCTCATCAAACAGCGGCAGTCTGTGACGTGTTAGTTAAGGTCATGTTGCCTACACCTCGCCATAAAATATAGAAATACGATATTATTAAAGTATAAAATGAACATTTATTTGTAAATACCATTTTCCTATGAAACAAGGAATTGGAATTCAGTGTAACCATGGTTGTTTGTGATGTCTATTTTCACTTTCACATGAGAAAATTCGGATCGGCTGAAAAGTAGGTAATTGTCTGAATAGGTTAATGAGACTCATGTTTCGGTTTGTTAACGCCGCACTTGGCCGCGGTCCGTAAATAATCCAGTCTCGACCAGAAAATCCAGTGATCAACAGCATGAGCCTCGATCTACGTGACTGGGATACGATAACATGTATCAACCAAGTCAGCGAACCTGACCACCCAATCCCGTTAGTCGCCTCTTACAACAATCAAGGATTGCTGAATACCAAGTCTACCCCCGGTGTCCAGTAAGTAAGTAGCAGGTTATTGTAGAGGGTTATTGTAGAGGCAACGTCCGACGTGATGCCGGTATTGAACACGGAATAGTGCTGACAATCCTAAAAGCATAATCAGAGCAAACCGGGACTCGAACTCAGCAACTCAGCAACAGTAATCCGAAAATAAATACATGTAGTCAGTGTGTGCTTCCAATAACGCGTTTCGGATGGGGGTTCCGACTGATGTACTGCCTTTCACATTATATACTCATGGAAACGAATAAGGGAACACATGAAAGTACAAGTGTTCCTTTATTCTTTTCCAGAATTTCACCCACAGTGCAATACAAAGCTTGTGAAGAAACCTGGAAAAGAATTAAGGAACTCTTGTACTTTCAGGTGTTCCCTTATTTGTGTCCGTGAGTATATTTTACACAAGTGAACTGTTAGGGTACACTGTAAGTCCTTTATGTTGTGAGTGAGTGAGTTTAGTTTTACGCCGCACTCAACAATATTCCAGCTATATGGCGGCGGTCTGTAAATAATCGAATCTGGACCAGACAATCCAATGATCAACAGCATGAGCATCGATCTGAGCAATTGTCACCAAGTCAGCGAGCCTGACCTCCCGATCCCGTTAGTCGCCTCTTACGAGAAGCATGGGTTACTGAAAATCAATATTGTAACCCGGACCTTCACGGGTACTTTACGTTGTGGAACCTGAGAAACGGTACAATAAAGAATTGCTGAGAGGAGGCAGGTTCCACTTTAAATGAGAAAAGGAACAATAAGGAGAGAAGGAGAGAGAAAGAGGTATTGAACGAAGGGAAGAAAATACACGTATGTGACACAGCTCAATTTTGCTGACAGTGGACTAAACATCGGCGTTTAATGGAACGTTTCAAAAGTCAACTTTGTGTGCAGACTCTTTCAGTGTTGTCACAACCCCTAGTGTACAGAACACAACCCTGTGCACTTAAAAGAACCCACGAATCCGTTGGTATATGACCAGATGGTGGCCACATGAATACCTGCAAACACCCAGTTGCGGGTACAGCAACGTGCAGTGAACTTGGACAAAGTACTGTGACTATGTGTCCCAGTCCACCCAGCTGTGAATGGGTATCTCGTAAGGATGGGCATGCCACAATAACTCGGTGCGCCTAGTTGCTGCAAGAGTTGTATGATCCCCAGGGAGTTGAGATTGACAATACGATGTGCCGTTGAGACTGACATCCAGTGAGCGAGGGAAAAACAAAACAAGCGCATAGAGTCCTTTGCGGAAATTTGCGCTATATTAATGCTATCCATTATTATTATTATTATTATTAAAAAAAAAAACAACTAACTTAACCTTGACAACCGACTCCTTCACAACGTTGTATCAACGGTGTTACTATATAAGGTTGCTTGTTTCGTTAATTTTGTTAATTAGGATGGGTTCAGTTGACGGTTGTCAGGCCATATACGGTGAAGGGTTTGTGTGAGTCAGCAGGTTACAGAACAGAGGTATTGTCACATCATCGACATACGAGTGTGTCAATGACTATATCCGTGTCGCGTCACATATGGATTTCCTAATATCTATGTATAACGTGTGTAACGTGTGTGTATGTGTGTGTGTGTGTGTGTGTGTGTGTGTGTGTGTGTGTGATTATGCATGGAGGAACATATACTCAATGGTCTGTTTAATGTCGCCATCAGCAATGTTACAGCTATAAAACGGCTGCGGATACAAGATCGAATTTGGTCAAGACAAACCACTGATTGATAGTCCGTCCAACACTAACGAGGCTGGACGATATGCCACGAACCTGCCCTGCAACCCTGATCAACCGATCTATACAGTTGTATCATACAAACGCTCAGTACATCTCTCAAATCGTCACGGAAATATATATGGTCAGGTCTTGTAGAGATGGAGATATCAACTAGACCCAGGACTAACATACACATCAACTTGCTGTATTGAACTGGATGACAAAAATAGAATTTTTAGTTTATAAAGCAGCGGGGATGGTATTGAAACAATGCATACTGAAGGTTGAACGATTAAAACATATGACTTAATACTCATTATGCAAAATGTATTTTGTTGACGTTGAGATAAAACACATATACGTTACTGTTAGATGAAACAGAAATTGTGTGTGTTGGTTGTAGGGGTGGGGTGGGGGCTGGGGGAAGCGGGGTAAGAGGGATTCGAGCGAAAAATATGGACAATAATTGGGTCAAACGTGTCACTTCACAGTGCGGACACTCTCCCATGACAGATGACCTCATGCCCTTTGTGACCTTTATATTATAAGTGAGTGTCCAGTAGTGAGTCACATTCCTGTAGATATCGTCATTCATGTATATAACAGTCGCGTGGCTGCTCATCCTCGGCCACATAATGTACTTGTCTCACTTAGTAACCGGGGCCCTCGGTGCCAGTGTCATTTGTCCAACTCAGTCAGTCGAAGATATACATGGCCTTCAATAGTGTTCATAGTACATTTTCTTATACAAAAACCGTATTATCTATATTCATTCTATGGAACACTTGATAACTGATAATAAAACAGCCATATGATAGATTCCATAGTCATATACTTGCTGTATATCATAGGCAGTTTCCTAAGGAAACATTAAATGCCACATGATATGATATGTATTTGCCGTAATGATATACAATCATACATGATAATGCATAACGATAATGTTGGTACAAAATGATATTCATGACAATTTATTATTATATTTCACATTTATATTCTGCATTTCTCAACACACCTCTGTTCAAATCGGTATGATCATGACGATTTATCGCGGAGAAGACATAAAACATATGGTTTCTGTACTGAGCCACACATAGTTTGAATTTTAAAACGGCTTATATGTATTTTGGGATGAATTTATGTGACCTGTTCCCGTAAGTGTCAGTGACAACAAATTCATTTCCTCACTACCCTCCTATTTTTCCATTTCATATCTATATTCGTTTCGAGATGACCAGCTTAAAGTTACAGTTTCTCTGCTGGCTACACTAATTGACTCCAGTTTCCGGACAAGTGTTAAGGAAACAATTTGCTCGAATTATCTTTCTCCTGTTCAGCCCCAGAGAGGTCAAGAACAACCAAGCTGATTGAATCGAACAGCCGCGGTGTAACACGCGGTGTGAGGAGCCACGGTGCGCGTGGGACACAGTACGTCACTTCCGTTACGTTTGTAGCAGACGGTATTTTGCTCTCTATATATACTTACAGCTGAGATTCGGAGGATACTCCACTGCGTTCAGCTCATTTAGTTTAGTCTATTCAAAACCATTCCTTACAATATGACAGACAATCAGTACGCCCAGGGCCCAAGAATTGTTAAATTAGGACGGAGTATTTCAAGAGAGGAAGGCAATGCTGTTGTTAGTTTGAGAAGATCTACCACTGGACAACCATGGGGTTTTCGTATGCTTGGAGGTCGAGACCAGGGGACTTGTCTCTACGTTCATAAGGTAGGTTTAGTAGATAACAGTTTTCAGTGACAATAACAAGTAGGGCACGCATTCATTGTGGTGAGAAAGGAATTTCAATGACATGTTTCTCTTTAAGTGCTATTAAGATATGGTTTAAATCATTCGCGCTTAATTGAGCACGTTATGTAAACAAATATCGGCTTTCATTATAAGAAGAAACCTAATGGCTGTAATTATACGTTTATGTCTCTGAAGTGGTTCTTCTTGGTTGGATTTGCATAAAACATTTTGATTTCTGATGGGGCTTCTGACAGAAGATCTTATAAGAGAGAGAGATGAGAATAAATCTTTCGCATGTGTAAGCTAACACACACATAATTATGAGCTACGAGCTTTGTATTTATTTATATTAGTCCACTTAACCTACATATGTTACGCTCTACAACTGGTAGTGGTTGCGAAGCAGTTCATATTTTTAACACTTTGTGAATATAGTTGTTTCCATGCTTGTTAAATGTGACTTTAAAAGGGGAAAGCTCAAAATGTGAAATGGATATCACGGAACAGATTGCACAGAAATGTTAGCAGTATAATAGCGCCTGGTGTTTTGTTGATTTTGTTCAACGCAAGTTGTTGCCAGGCATATATTTTCAAAGCATTCGGTTCAGCACCACAACAAAACACGTAGCATTTGGTTGGGAATATGTGTCAATGCACGTGCACTTCAGGTGTATATTTCAAGGCCACGCGCATTGTACAACCATAAACATTACTGATGCGCTGACATATATTTCATGCATCTGTCGACCAGGGAACGTGTTTCACCTGAGCGCTGATATCTGCTGCATCCCCCACAACTTGGCAGTACCACCCTAATTACCCCCACAAGTTGCTTACATGTGACTGGGTCACATGTGCACACGCCGTTATATATACAACGCGCGGATCGAATTTCAGTGTGCCAAATTTGGGGAGTCTGCCATTTCTTGTATGCACACCATCACTATGGAGTTTAACAATGCAAACATACACACTTGCGGGTAATCCTCTTCGTAAATAGGTTTCCGCTGTTTGTAACATGGCAGATCTTGAACTGTGAGGCTGTTTTCTAACTCACTGCCTAAACTAATCCGTCATTATGTCACGTCTGTAATTCACATTAATGACTCCTGTAAATATTCTGATGAAAATTCTCTTGTGTAACAGTAGACGTATGTAGTGATATACAGACATTCTCTGGCGGTTTGTGCTATTTTCCTGACAATATATAGCATTTGTATCACTGAGCTCTGTTAGAAAAAAACGACCGCCTCCATGGTGTAGTTGGTAGAGCGGAAGGTCGCGGGTTCGATCCCCGACCGCGTCGTACCAAAAGACGTTAACATATGGTACTCGTTGGTCCTTGGCTGGCGCTCGGCATTAATGGGTACAACAAGCACTGGTCAGCTCGGAGTCAGTATAATGTGTCTGAGAAGGGTATTCAGGCTTCACTGCGGCATGGTATCTCAGTGGGCTAACACTATAAAACCAGCTTCAGTCTGGGCTAGTACAAGCAGCCGCACATACACACGCATGCACGTCGTCATATGAGCGAAATATTCTCAAGCACGACGTTAAACCCAATTTCACCTCACCATCTGTTAGAAAAACGGACTAATGCTTTCTGTGAGAGATGATAGACCAGATAAAACAATGTTTTGAATGGGCGGATATTAAGAAATATACACCAGTATTCCCTTTGTCAACTTTAATCCCCTTTTTCTAAGGCAACGGTATTGACTGTCAGCATATTGCGTCCCGTAGACACGGCAGGATCCGCTATGCTGTGTTTTCACCATCATTCTCGGTTTCTTACAGTTTACACTCATAGAACCATCGTATTGCACCTTTATGTTTCATTCATATGTAGCATACGAGAGAGATTGATTCCTTAAGGTCGTAATGATTACATAGTTCCATGATGTCATGCTGATAGGGAGTACACTACCAAGAACGCAAACAGACGCCGTGACCAGGCGAACTGGAATGTAATAGCACCTTACATTGTCTCATTATTAATCGCTACCGTGTACATGTCTGACCCGCTTTCAACGTTAACTAATGGTCTTGTCAAGGGACACAGACAATATATGTGACAGACATAACAATTATAACGCAGGACATAAAAAAATATCCCCCAACAAATATGTAACTTCTTTGAGTGGCATTTAAGAATTTGGGAAGTACAATATTTGGATAACAACTTCTTTTATTTCGGGAGTGCGACGTTTCGACGTGTCGCACTCGTGAAATAAAAGAAGTTGTTATCCATAAAGTTTGTTCAATATTGCACAAAGATGTACTCTGTGTGAGTATTTACGAAGACACTGCCACTCCCATCTGACCGTAGTTGCGAAAAACACATCCGAGGTCGTCCATGTTACCGGTTTATAGGGAAAGTGGGCTTTTCAGCATTGATCTTCACAGCGTGTTCCCCAGTGTTGCGGTCATCCTGTGGTTACTTCCCGCTGTCACGGACGTGACACTATGCATTTTGTTCGCATGGACAAATGGGAGAGTGGGTTGGTCAAGTCAAGAAAATGTAATTGATTTTCATGTGACTTCGTGTAATACATTTCAACGAGTAATTTCGAGAAATTGATATTTATTCTTATCTGTCACGGAGGAAGAAAGACTCACATACACATTACATGTAACGTCCACTTTTGTGTCTAAGTCTTCCGCTGTCTTTGCGTGATGCTTGGAATTACACTTCACATTTCCTTATTGTCAAATATGGCTAACTTTAAATGAAGTGGATTTCGTTTCCTTTATCTACACAACAGCTTGGACTTGTGCAGAGTGTTTCTGTGTGAATATCAATGGCCGTCCGATTTCTTTATCACACTCGAGTCATGTTAGAGGGACGGTGGGGTAGCCTTGTGGTTAAAGCGTTCGCTCGTCACGCCGAAGGCCCGGGTTCGATCCCCGCATGGGTACAATGTGAGAAACCCATTTCTGGGGTCCCCCGCCGTGATATTGCTGGAATATTGCTAAAAGCGGCGTAAAACCATACTCACTCACTCATGCTAGTCTACCGACGGATTTTTTCTTGTCTTAATGCTTGATGGTTTTGGATCGTTGTTCATACTTTCACCCACTTGTTTGGTTGTTCCCGACTATTATCCAGAGGCCGCCGTAATATAACTTAAATCATACGAGTCGTTTTGCTTAAGGACGCGCTGACAACAGGACACTTCACTTATTTCATGTGAATTCGAATGGAACATGAACATGAAAGTTCAGTTGAGCCTTTGATTGTTTTTTATTTTAAATATGTCCTCCAAACATGAAGGTTATACCCTTTATGTTTTAACAATACCCCTTTAACCAGTTTCATTCTGTTTGATATTGCAGCACAAACAGTCACTCTTACAGTGAAGTCTGAAGTGGTGAATATTATTTGATTTGATACTACGATGTCGTTTGTATGATATGACAAGAGTTTCAAATGAGTGAGTGAGTATGGTTTTAGCAATATTCCAGCAATATCACGGCGGGGGACACCAGAAATGGGTTTCACACGTTGTACCCATATGGGTAATCGAACCCGGGTCTTCACCGTGACGAGCGAACGCTTCTTTTATGTCGTGAGTGCGACGTTGTGACGTGTCGCACTCGTGAAATAAAAGAAGTTGTTATCCATAAAGTTTGTTCAATATTGCACAAAGATGTACTCTGTGTGAGTATTTACGAAGACACTGCCACTCCCATCTGACCGTAGTTGCGAAAAACACATCCGAGGTCGTCCATGTTACCGGTTTATAGGGAAAGTGGGCTTTTCAGCATTGATCTTCACAGCGTGTTCCCCAGTGTTGCGGTCATCCTGTGGTTACCTCCCGCTGTCACGGACGTGACACTATGCATTTTGTTCGCATGGACAAATGGGAGAGTGGGTTGGTCAAGTCAAGAAAATGTAATTGATTTTCATGTGACTTCATGTAATACATTTCAACAAGTAATTTCGAGAAATTGATATTTATTCTTATCTGTCACGGAGGAAGAAAGACTCACATACACATTACATGTAACGTCCACTTTTGTGTCTTAAGTCTTCCGCTGTCTTTGCGTGATGCTTGGAATTACACTTCACATTTCCTTATTGTCAAGTATGGCTAAATTTAAATGAAGTGGATTTCGTTTCCTTTATCTACACAACAGCTTAGACTTGTGCAGAGTGTTTCTCTATCACACTCGAGTCATGTTAGAGGGACGGTGGGGTAGCCTTGTGGTTAAAGCGTTCGCTCGTCACGCCGAAGGCCCGGGTTCGATTCCCCGCATGGGTACAATGTGAGAAACCCATTTCTGGGGTCCCCCGCCGTGATATTGCTGGAATATTGCTAAAAGCGGCGTAAAACCATACTCACTCACTCATGTTAGACTACCGACGGATTTTTTCTTGTCTTAATGCTTGATGGTTTTGGATCGTTGTTCATACTTTCACCCACTTGTTTGGTTGTTCCCGACTATTATCCACAGGCCGCCGTAATATAACTTAAATCATACGAGTAGTAATGCTCAAGGACGCGCTGACAACAGGACACTTCACTTATTTTACGTGAATTCGAAATGGAACATGAAAATGAAAGTTCAGTTGAGCCATTGTTTTGCATTTTAAAAATATGTCCTCCAAACATGAAGGTCATACCCTTTATGTTTTAACAATACCCCTTTAACCAGTTTCATTCTGTTTGATATTGCAGCACAAACAGTCACATTTACAGTGAAGTCTAAAGTGGTGAATATTATTTGATTTGATACTGTGATGTCGTTTGTATGATATGACAAGAGTTTCAAATGAGTGAGTGAGTATGGTTTTACGCCGCTTTTAGCAATATTCCAGCAATATCACGGCGGGGGACACCAGCAATAGGTTTCTCACGTTGTACCCATGTGGGGAATCGAACCCGGGTCTTCACCATGACGAGCGAATGCTTTAACGATAAGGCATCCCCACCGCTCCAGTTTCAAATGAAAAGGACAAGGCTTCTAGAGCCATT